CGACATTAATGAGCGAATGTGGGAGCCAGCTGAAAATCTCGCCAATGCGCCACAAAAGGTACAGGAATTTCATCAACAACATCCTCATAAACCTAAGCCAATTCGACGATAACTTCCTTCTAAAGCTTGCTCACTCAAGAATATAAGAAAGGAGGAGGGTACCACCAAAATTCGAAGTTGATATAGTTATTTTTTCCAAGATAAAGTAGAATTTTTTCAGTAGCCATAGTTTGGTCTTCTGATATGGATAGCCAAGATATAGATACTATGCCAGTCAGATTATCTCAACCGACTAGCTCACAAAGGAGACCCCGAGATGAAGAACCACCTACACCACGATGACGACAGAGAATACCGAGTAACCGATCACTAGTGATTGTATTTGAGTTCAAGCTTGCTTATGATGGTCAACCAGAAGGCGTATTTGCAGGACAATTTCACAATGAGGACACAGAAGTTCATACTTGGTCAGAAGTCGAAGGAGTGGACCAATACCGTTGGCTTCAAGGGCCAATGAACCACTTGTCTCATGAACAATAGTTGGAGTTCATAGCAGACGTTATGTGAGAGATCTTCATTTTCTTACGTTGATACTATTTAACAACAACATTGCTTCTCAGAGACCTCTAAGCTAAAGGAAGGGGTGATGTTAGGGACATTGTCTTTAAAACCTTCTAGAAGCAAGTCTCTGGAACCTTCTAGAAGCTTCTTAGTTGATAAAAGATGTTAGGGACATAGTCCTTAGAACCTTCTAGAGACAAGTTTCTAGAACCTTCTAGAAGCAAGTCTCTGGAACCTTCTAGAAGCTTCTTACTTGGTAGAAGTTGCTTGAGAAGCTTCCTAAATAGGAGTATATATTGGAATCAAGGCTGAAGAGTTCTTCAGTCTCGACAACACATCTCTTAGAGCTCTAGTTCACCTCTTTGGTGTTGTATTCATCTGATTAATCTAGTTCTTATCAGTTCTTCTTGAACTTCTTATTAGATCTCGAGTTTGTATTTCTCTGTCCGTGACATAAGCATAGATATAAGATTAGCAAACACTATGTTTCAACTTGATAATAATGAAATATGTGATTGTTTACCTAATACATCAACAACAACCAAAACATAATGAAATGGTCCTGATATTGGATTAATAGGACCACAAATATTACCATGCAATCTTTCAAGCATTGGTGATAATTCTTATAGAAGTTTTTGAATTGAAGGTCGAGTAATCATTTTACCTTGCACACATTCAGGACATAATTCCATAGAGTCTACATTTGCAGGCTTTAAATTGTGTCCAGTTATACATGGAATGATCTTTCTAAATAATGTGGATCCTGGATGTCTAAATCGTCCATGCTAGAAAGAAACATGACTCTTTATGATAGATGATGCGAAATTAAATATAATGGGAGGCCGAATCATAATTCGGTATAAACCATTTTCTGTAGCAAAAGCTTTTTTGACAACTTTAATATTCTTCGCAAGAACCAAAACCTCTTTTCTATTTAAAGTAGCGATCGAGAGGTGATAACCATTAATACGCACATCTCGGTAGCTGGTCACACTCCGAGGTGCTAAGGGTACAAACATCGCATGTTTACATTTTATGATGGAACCTGCAGGTAATTTTACCATCGTTGTGCCCTCTTGGAAACAAAATTCATTTGCTCCAACTATGATCATCATATTTTTAGTTTGCCAAGTTGAAGATTTTTCAATAAAAAATTGTCTATCTCACAAGATAGTATGTGTTGTTGTAGAATCAATGAGCATATCATTTGATTCATTATTAGAGGTTTTGTCATTCATATAAGCCTCTAAGTCATCAACACCAATTGAATCTATCGACGCATCCATGGTATGAACTTCATGAGCCTGAGCTCGCAGTTTCTTATTTTTTTTGAACATTTTAATAAAATATTTTGAAGTATAGTACACATGTACTAAATATCCAATCATTCCACACTTATGGCAAGAACGCATCTTTGATTTTTATTTTCTACTATAATTAGTAATAGAATTTTTATTCTTTCCTTATAGGTAGAAATGGTTATGACTATGACTACCTTGATACTTATGAGCACGTTTTTCATGTTTATATAATTTCTTCTTAGACTTTGAAATATTAAAAGCATGAGATTGTGGAACTGAAGTTCCAATAGGATGAGCTTCTGCATTGCACAAAAGTACCTCATTTTGCTTCTCCACAAGAAATAGATAGGACATGAGATCAGAATGACTCCGAAATTTCATGTTCCTGTATTGTTGTACAAGTACAGCAGATAGAGGAGGAAATGTAGAGAGAATTTTCTCAATCATTTCTTCTTCAGAGATGCTTTATTCACATAATTATAATTGTGAGATAATACTATACATTTCACTATTGAAAGCATTTAAATTTGGAAAATTTAGAAAATAAATGAGCTTGAAAATATTGGAATGCATTGGTAATAGTTGGAACCATAGTAGAAGCAGTTGAAGATGTTGAAGCACTCATTATAAATAAATCTATAAAGAAAATATAAGATTAAGTAGAAAAGTTGAATAAAACGTACCTTAAAATATAAAGTCAAATAAAATGATAAACTTGAATTTAAAAAATAAAATTATTATTATTATTATTATTATTATTATTTTTAAAAGGATTGTGGATTAAGGTAGCAAAACAATAATAAGATGGCAGCAGCAGGCAGTGGTAGGGCGGCAGGGTGGCAGCGATGGGCAACAACAATAGCGACGAGCGATAGCGGCAATGGTTAGTGACAACATCAATGGCAATAGGGTGGCAGCAGCGAGTTTGGCGACAATTTGGCAGTAGTTTGACAACAATTTGGTGGTAGTTTGGCGGTAGCTTAGCGGCAGTTTGAAGGCAGCTCAGCAGTAGTTTCGCGGCAACTCAGCGACAACTCGGGGCGTAGTAGGGAGCAAACTAGGGTAGAGCTGGGCTAGATCAAGTATTCTAAATAAGTATTCTAAGCAAGCTAGGCAAAGGGTGGAACAAGTGCTTTAAGCAAGCAACTAATGTATGAGGGGCCAGCAAGAATAGCAACAAGATCATGAGGCAGACACTGAGCAAGAGTAGCAATAGGTTTGAAGAGTTAAGACTAGAGTAAAAAAATTATGATAGTGTGTAGAAAAAAGTCGTGCTGATAACGTGTTGAGAATGTTTAGAAAGACACAAGAGTAATAGTAAATCATACACAGAAGAGAGTTTCCTAGGAAAGAGAGCTTCACACATAAAATTCTATTGATTTGGTTGTGTCTCATATACGAGAAGAGAAAAGGGGAGAGGATAAACAATATTTCTCTACTAGACTCTAAATACTGTAGCTACAGTATTTACTATAGTCTATAGTAAATATTATGGAGAGCGTCGGCTACATTTAATGATCTCAATAATTTTATATTATTTGTAAACAATTGTGTACCACAACATAGAAATAAAAAATCATATTAATTTTTATATTAATTTTTATATTTGTTGATCTACCAAATCTTAGAATAAAAATTGATAAAGCAATACAAATTATAATCTTGTTATTTATCTTTCTAGGTAGTATATTGCTTTACTACTACAGAATTAAATCTGTTAGGTATTTCTTTGGTAAAGTATTTTTATTCAAATTCAAAACTAAAATATACTGATTTTTGCCACAAAAATCTAAAATATTTTATTTCATCAAAACATAAAAATATTGCCTCCAAAAAATTCCTTAAGAATTAAATTGATTCATTTATTAAAAGAACATTGCAAAACTCTACTTAACTGTTGACAAATCTTAAGAACAAGTATTATATGAATCTACCTATTTTGGAAGATAGTAGGATTTCTGTAATATTTGATGGTTAAATCCTCAAATTTTATAATGAAAGGACCATATCTTGTCCAACACGAATCACTAAAAATAACTAATTTAGAAAATTAAACAATTATTTATTCCAAATAGTTACAATCTTATTATAGAAACATTTAATGTATATTAAAAAACATTATTTGTAATGTTCAAGTCAATCAATTCATCAAGAACAAGAACAATGGTACCTATGGGGTCCATACATACCATTCATGTGTCTATCTATATATATATATATATATAGATATTCCACTTTTATTGAAACATGAGAATGAGTTTTTTCATGATTAAAAGGCATCAAAAGCCACACAAGCAGCCAAAGTGAGGCGTCGTAGAGAATGTATTTTTCTTCCAATGGGAGATATAAATCGATTCTCCCTCCCCACTCTTCAAGATTCTTCTTATGCTATCACAAAAGCATGACAGCAAACCAAAAATATATATGTATAAATAAATAAATAAATAGCCACGTGGCAGTGAAGGACAATGGCTCTCCCTTCCACAACTACAAATTACAGACACCAGAACCAAAATAGAACTTTACAAAACAACAACTATACTTCACAATTCGAGCACAAGAAAAGATAACTAGCTGGAACTCACCCACCCTAAACTTAAACTCACTCCAGTCCACTCCAATAGAAGGGAGAAGGGGGGGGGAGGGATTGACCTTCACGCTCTCGTTTGCTTGGTTTCCAGCTCACTCTCATGCTGGTCCAACAGCACGCGGCGGGGCTGCCTGCCACCCACCCATGCGCAGAAAAGGACAAGAACCAACACAACACGGGCATAGCGGGCAGGGGGCGAGAGAGGCAGCCAACCACAATGGGGGTGGGGGGAGCAATGTCGGAGACGTGGGTGCCTCCGTGGGAGGGAGGTGGGCCGGGGATGGGGTAGGCCACCCACGGCGCTACACATGCCGGGAATGCGAGGAGGCGCGCCAGGGCCAGGCAAGGCAAGCAATGCAGACAAGGCAGGGCAGGGCTGGTCCCAGTTCCCTCCCCTCCCACCCCTATGGCCGAGCCCAGACCAGGCTAGGCTAGGGCCAGGAAGGGAAGAGGAAGGATGAAGTGGGTTGACATGCGCCTCTCCTTAGCTCGGATTTTCCGGCAGTAGGGCCCTATGCTCTTGTCCATTCCGTAGGGGAAATGGCGAGGAGGGGGCTGGGATGGGGTGGGATGCTCCGAAGAGGGAAAGACTGTTTCGCTTGGAACTTGTCAGCATTAACAGTAGCTTTAGCAACCCCTTCCCCCTCCCTCCCTCCCCCTCCCGCTGCGTTTTGCCCTCTTCCTCTTCTTCCTTTTCTTCTTCCACATTCCTCTTGCTCTTCTTCTCCCATCCCCACCATCCCTCTCCCTCCCCTCCCCTCCCCTCCCCTCTCCACCACCATCGCTTTCTCTCTCTCCTTCTCTCTCCTTCCCTGCTCGCTCTCTTCCTCTTCTTCTTCTTCTGGCCTGCTGTTGTCGTAGCGTCGTGGCCTGGGACAGTTCTGAGAGCTTTTGTCTCGTATTGTTTTCTCTGGGAATCCCCTCTTCTCTTCTCTCCTCTCCCTCCTGGTTTGGTGCGTGGTTATGCGTGGTATTTGAAGCCAGCGGGTGAGCGGTTCGGGTGTCTGTGGATGTTTCATTCGGTTTCGGAGCGTTTCCGTGCTGCTTGGATTTTCCTTTCTGGTGTTTGGTTTTCTTATTGGGCAGTTAGGATTCGAGAGGGTGAAGAGAAGCAGGGAAGTCTGGCGGGGTTTGCGAGAGCAGTTGTTGGTGGTGTGAGCCACCTGGCTACATGTGCTCGTCGTGGGCGCGGAGGGTGTGAGCAGAAGCAGCCAGTGATGGCGGAGGACGCGAAGAAGGCGAAGTTGGTGGCCCCGGTGGTGGACGGACCTGGGGGGAGTGCTGTAGTGCAGCCTTCTGCTGCTCCTGCTGCGGCTGCCGCTCCTGTCGCTCTCCCCCCACCGGAGCCGGAGAAGAAGGTGGAGGAGGAACAGGTTGACTACAGCGTGGACGAGCTTCTTGCGCAGCATCAGGACTTGGTTGATAGTTTGCTTGCTGAGGTAACGCCCGCGGAGTTTTTGGGAAGTTCCCGGAGCGGAGTCTGTGGATTTTGAGGTAAAGTGATGCTTTAGGGTTGATGTGATCGGGACTAGGGCTGTTTTTACCGTAGGTCGTTGCGATGGTTTAATTGCATGAGATGGGTGGAAGCTTGCTGCGGCGCTCAGGCGAGGGTGTTGATTGTATCTGTCTTTACAGGGTATTTTGGACGATCAGTTCACCCAGCTCCAGATGTTGCAAGATGAGAGTAATCCAGGATTTGTGGAAGAGGTGGTGACTCTGTTTTTTGATGATTCTGAGAAGCTCCTCAACAACCTTACGGACTCTCTGTATGTAATTCTTGGCCTAGAGATGTTCCGCTTTTGATTGTGAACCAGACATGGCACTATACCGTCTTTCCCGTGCTTGATTCTGGTTGTTGCAGGCGCCTCTGACGAGGCTGTCTATTTTTTGTTTGCATGAACCCGCGTCGTATCAGTCGAAGATTGCACTTAAATTTTCGAATATACAGATCGTTCATGTGTTTTATCAACTTATTTTCTGTATGGTTCCTTGGGATACATTTGAATGATAGTTGGATGTTTTACCATTCGATTGCAGGAAGACAGATCCCATAGATTACAAGACTGTGGATGGTCATGTTCATCAATTTAAAGGGAGCAGCTCCAGGTATGCCTACATGGTTGTTCAGTGCACGAATGTCTGGGTTGGTAGATACCATTGCAATTGACACCATCGCCTGCATTGCCATTGCATCATAAAGTTTCGGGACTCTACTGAGTGGTTGTTAATATTTTGACTTGGATATGACCTGATATATCAGCATTGGTGCACAACGAGTGAAGGAATTGTGCATAAAGTTCCGGATTTGTTGTGAAAATGGAGACAAGCAAGGGTAATTGTTTCTTATCAACCTTGAGCAAGTTAATTCATCCGAATTTTCATTTCCTTTGCTTGAGGCCAGGCATAGTCTATGCTCCTGCCTTCTATCTCCTAAGCCTTCATCTTTTCAAACATACTCCCTACATCATGAATCTCTTTGTGGATGGGACATGACTGTCTGCGTTTTGCTTTTTAGGTGTCTCGGCCACCTAGTGAAGGTGAAAGAAGAGTTCAACACTGTCCGGACTAAACTCGGGAAAATTCTTGAGGTATTTCTTATTCTGCAAAAATGCTTGAGGACTTATTTTTAATAAATAAACTGTTATATTGATAACAATCGTAATCATTCTTGTCCGTGTTATTTGTTATTGGTGATGTCTACCTTTGTAAAAGATATGTCTTGTGATCCGATTGACTTTCTTGTTTTTCAAGAAAGTGCAATGCATTCTTTTCCTATCTGTGTTGATTTAAGGATCATCATCTGCATAGTCGTAGTACACATGCCGGAGAGTGTGTGTAAAGTTCTGCATGACATGTTACTTCCAATGATTTTATATGCCCTAAGGTTTGTCTTGATGAATTTGTTGATGCAGCTGGAGAACCAAATTGTGGCCAAGGGAGGCGTTCTTCCTCTTGTGGAGTGCTGAAACAGCCTTTCAAAATTGTAGTTTAGTTCTTGCGTGTACATGCATCTAGGGCTGCAGTATTCTAGAGGCACTCTAGTCTAGATCTCCTGTACTTCAAGGTGTCGCAGCAGATGGCCAGTCAGGGTGGGTTCTTTTGAATTTCTTTCAATTCTACTGCTATTGGACCAACATCAATGATGAACATTTGATACGCGTGTTTGAAGTATTATTCTCAAGAAACATATCTGAAAAGCCAGAAAACAATGCTGTTTTCAAGAATCTCTGCCCAAACACTTTGCACCTTTGGCTAAAATACACATTTTCGCAGTTCACTTTCTAATATTGAACAGGGAGTTTCCCTGAATTGTCTAGTACTATTTCCAATACTCCACATCACAAGCCAGAACGTTGGATTTCTCCACAGGATTTTCCCACCAGTTGCGTCCATTGTCTTCGCATATTCAGAAGACACTGTACCACGAGTTTGATCCAGGATTTTACAATCTACGAATCTTGTTCTTTCCAATCTCAGTCACCAGTTTGGCTTCTCTATTTCACAGCACGGTTACAATGCCAATATTCGTTGACTAGAAGTTATAACAACCTAAAATTAACCAACCAACTGTTACGTCTGATTCTTGCTGGATTCTATTTGGGTGATCCCAAAAGCCATACTCATAAAGAAGGTGGAGAAGGAAACGCACACCCTCAATTTTTCCATCCATGGGCACCTTTCAGATCATTCTAAAAATATAGTGAGGAGATGTCTACAGGCTTTGCTGTTGACACTTGGCTTGAAGCCCATTCTCTGAGACCCTTGATTCTTGGTTGGTTCCAAGTATTGAACTCTTGTGAATCACATGATGTGGTGTCTCGAGGCTTCATACTTTTCAAAGCTCCTCGTCACCTTTATTCCTTCTGATGGTGAAAATATCGGTTGATTTTAATCTACAAGCTCATGTAAATTCTTGACTTCTTCAAAGTTAGAAAAAAATTACTTTAATCCTAAGTTAGAAGTGATCCATTTTTGGATGATTTTTTTTGTTTTGTTTTGTTTTGTTTTTGGCACTTGCTTCCTGCAACATAGAAGAGTCTTGGAAAACTGAAGTGATAGGGTCTAAAATTCCTGCCTAATATGGAAAAATTGTAATTTGAGAGATTATACTTGTTGTCCATACACTTTTTGTTAACCTCAAAATTGAAGTGATTTCCAAGGTTTAATTGATCAGCTGCAGCATTGAGATCATAGAATTCATAATCGACAACTGCTAAGGAAAATTAATTGCCTGCATAATTTTTTTTAATTATTTATTTATTTTATTGTGAATCCTTGTAAGATCAAGTTGTACCTAGTTCCACATTACAAAACAATAAGAGGTTATAATCATATTGAATAAATAAATAAACCAAATGTGGTAAAAATTGAACAAAACAAAGTTATAAAAACTTCTGCAATAATTCATGTACCTGTGCTTTGCACTACCGTGTAAAAAGCTGCATGCTAAGATTATTGAAAATGAGCAGTAAAATGGAACAACTACTTACATGGGAGTAGCTTTTTGTATAACATTTATATTGAACCCACCATTAGGCAAGTAGTTTTGTCCATGGGATCAAAATCCTTCTTTGATTCAAAACATACCAACACATTTTCAAAGCATTGATCCATTTTCCAAAGTTCTAATCATTGACATTATAGTTTGTAAATATTCTAAACTAAAAAGGGATATGGTGCCACGTGTGATTCATTTTGTTGGATGGATGTCCCATTCAACTCCCATTGTCACTAAGCCAAAAAAATGAGTGACACATGGTATAATTCTATTAGTAGGTGAACTTGCATGATACTCATTTGCCCTTGTTATGATATGAAATGAAATAAGTTTGTTAAACAAATAAGTAGCGTATCCATGCAAACAAATCAAGTCTTTGGGACAATGTTCTATTTGGTTCATATATTTGAATTGTGGACCAAGTCTCTTTGACTTTGTTGAGTTTGCCAATGGGTAGAGTTTGAGTGCTTGGATAGATGAACTATATCCAATCAATAGAAACACATGTGAAGAAGGTGTAGAGAAAAGAATTGCTTGCACCAAGAAAGTTGAGAAGATGAAGAAGAATTACTTCATAAATACTTCCACATCACTTTTTATTTTTCCACTTGATATTCTAGATTTTATTATTTTAAACTCTTGTAATGTTTTACAAATGATGTTTAATATTGAGAGATTTTTGTTAAGAAAACATGGCTTTGATTTACACTCTTGCTCTTTATCACAAAAATATATTTACAATCAACATACCCTATATTGCGCAATAGATGAATGGATGCATGCAAGCATTGTATATATACATACATACATACATACATACATACAAAAATAAATGAATGTTATCCAAAATACTTGAAAGGGTTGGCAAACATCATACATTGCACAATGTTGGCACTACAAACAATGAGTAGATGTGTGATAGAAGGATGCCATTCCATGGTCCAAAATGTTGAATAGGATGGTCTCTCCACTATGTTTGTTTAGCCACTTTTTTTTAATAATAAAATATTTTGATTGAAAAATAATGATAATAATAATTAATATTAGAATTGGAGGTCCTTACAATGCTTTACAAGTAATAAGTTAAAAGGAGATGTTGGTATATAGTAATGTACAATACAATAAAAAATCACTATGCAAAAAAAGTAAAAAAATAAACACTTATTTATTTCATTGATATCATAAAATAAAAACATGTACACAAAATAATAATAATAATCATAATAATCATAATAAAAACTCACTTTACATAAACTATGTAGTTTTATGATATAATTTCGGAATTTGTATATTTATAAATTTTATCATTTTTCAAAAATAACCATTATTTTATAAATAACCAAACAAAAAATTATAGGTTTTACCATTAAAACTATTATGATACATTATAATATAAAATATTATTCCTTATATTATACTACTATCATAAATATAAAATTATAAAATTGTATATACACACATTTGTTATTGATATTTTTTTATAAATTTATTTTCTTAAACACAACATTAACTTTATTTTTGAAATACTAGTCTTCTTTTTGTTCCAGAGTCATTTCTTTGCGCTTAAGCCAATAAATTGAAAACCTATTGGTCCTCTTTTGGGATTTCAAATCTGCTGATTGTGGACCATCTCTTACAAATTTTGAGGAATTAAAAGTTGGATCCTACACGTCCTTTAAGATCAAGTAGATACACTTGTTTTTAAAGTCAATTTGGTCCAAAAGCAAGAGTTTTGAAATTTCTCTACAAAATTTATTCAGAGTTTGTCATTAAATGCACTTTGTCAATGAACGATTCAAATGGACAGGTTTTTGATTGTTAGTCCATGCAAGCAAGAAATTGTCAAAATCGGTACCACAAAACACAACTTACAGTTCTTAACAATTTTTTTTATTAATTATATTTCAGTTAATATGTCAAGATAAAATATCAACCAACACTTAATAATTACTTGTATTGGCAAGGCAAGAGAACATGCATTAAAAGAGTATATATATCTATATATATATATATATATATATACACACATATAAAGAATGGCAACAACAATAGTATGTCAAATTGACATCATAATTTAATAAATAACAATGCACACACTTTTTATTCAGAAACATTTTTAAAAAAATCCTATAAAAACTTGAGGCACAAATATTCTTTGTTTCAATACTAACATTGTTTTCGGACCAGATTTATGCAATACCAGAATGTAATACCAAAAGACAAAAGCTTCATCACTCATTAATATGAAAGTAACCTACCTGTGTATAAAAATGCTACTAATCATGTAAGCAAATGAATAAAATTCAAATATTTGATGTTTTAAAATTATAAAGCATATTGGTAATTTCTTAAAATATTAGTCATGAAGCACCACAAAAGCCTTAAAGAAATTGATGATTAATAGTTGTACCAGTCCTGCATCTGTGTGATAACTATGTAATCACCTAATTTTCTTATTATTAACACAGTATCATTAGTGATGTGTTTGTGTGTGTGTATATATATATATATACACATATATTGACACGCACAAACACATTCAATCAGAGAGGAAAATATAACCAATATTGGCAAACATTGTTTCATGCAATCCCATTCATATATTAATTTATCACGCCCACAATTAATACCATAATTTTTTTCCTAATTACCCTATTGTTCCAAATTTCAAATTTTATTTTGATTTTTACAGTGAAAGTTCTTCATGTGGACGAATTGATCAACTTCAATTTGAATTTCAATAGTTTTAAGTGTTAAAAAAGGCTCTGTCTCACTCACAAACAAACACCAGCGTTACCAAACTAGCTCTGCTCAAATCATTTCATCCTCATCCTCATCCATTTCAGATTCTTAGCTCATGCACAATTCCCTGCATTCACCCACAACATCAATGGCCTCGATTAACACAAAATCATAGAGTTAATTGTACATGATATAGGGTTAATCCTTTACTCAACCCTACTTTTGACTCAAATATTGAACAAACAGTTTCACAATTAAATGCAAAAAAGAAATACCTTACAACAGCAGATGAACCCACTTTTAAAAAGCATTTGTATTTTACAATGGGATTGTGAGAGGAGAATAATCAGGGATTGGAGAAATAACAGAAAACAAAAACAAACTGTTTCAAGACCTGTCGAGGTTGCTGAAGACCCACCTGCAGGCTTGTGCAAAAAGAGAGAATTTCGAGAGATTAGGGTGGTTTTTGGGCAAGATTTGAGACGTTTTTTCTTTGTTTTTTTTGTTTTTCTCTGTGTAGCAGATATCTCTCATGAACGTTTTTAACCTCCTGGATGGTGTCGATGGCGCAATCTGCTACACTCCATGGTCACAATGGTCTCACATCGTCTTTGCGTGCTCTTTAGAGTCATTACAAGGTACTGGAGCATCAGCAGAGCCCTAACATTGTTTATTTTCGTTTTTGTTGCAGTGCACACCAGGTACCACACAAATTGATGTATGGAGTTGCGTCCTTCACAGCCATTGACCTAAGTTTGTGGACATTGGTCAGAATATGAGTCATTGTGTAGTTGGTGAGTGTTCTAGCTATGATTTGGATGTTAATGTCATTGTTTACGTTGCAGCCTTCAAACTGGAGACCTCAGATATGGTAGTTGGGTTGCTTAAGTGGTGTGGGGGTGGTGGTGGTGGTGGTACTCCACCCTGGCGTCAATGTGGGTTCTGCCAACAATAATGTGCTTACCCATGCGGCATCACGTTGTCGCAGAGGCTCCTGATCACATGACCGCTGCACAAGCTTGTCGTGATTCTGCATTGCAGGTAAGGATAGATGTATTCGATGCGCGTTGGTCGAAGATTGCTGTGTTCGCGGATGAGGGTTTCGACATTCTCGACCTGTCATGAGGCTAGTTCATTACGCTCCGCGCCCCACATGAGAGGTCTATCTCTGAGCTGTTGGATATCCCTTCTGTTTTTTGAGGGAGGGGAAGTGGGCTTAAATTGTTGATTGACGTCAAATGTATCCGTAGTAGTGTCGAGCGGTATTCCTGTGAACGTTTCTATTATGGATTTCCCTAATTCAAAATGGTGCGTGCGGATCGACAAAGTTTGAATGACTCGCCTGAATATGATCGGATTGTTTATGCTGTGGATTAGGGCACGACCCTTATCAGACAATTATAGCGCCCTCTTCATGGTTTTTCCAAAACATCGGTTCTCGACCTGTTTATTGGGAGTATTATCCCAAGTCATTAAAACACTTGCAACGAGCCTTCACGCTGTTCGGTGAGAACTTTGCAATCAAATGAGTGTTTGCTTTCTAAGGCTGCTTAATTGCTTAACTATTGTGCTATCAGTTGTCGGGGTTTTTTTTTTTTTTTTTTTTTTTTTTTTGGTTTTTTTTTCCATTGATCATTACTTCTAAGTGCGGAAATTATAGCATACAAGTGACGAGTGTGCACAGGTGGCGGCATTCTCAGAGAATTGTAGTTGGATTTTCTCTAACCGTTGTTGACAGTGTCCACATCGATTTCTTGTTCCTAGTGGATAGAAGCCATTGTGATAGCAAGTTACGATCGTCGCAGAATTCAAATCGTACATAAGATCGTTTTTAGGTTTAGCAGTTGCAACGAGCTCCTTGGCGACAGAGCAGGGAGCCGTCCAATGTGAGATTCACGACGAGTTTCAAGCAAGTGAGTTCCAATGATTTCCATCACCAATCAGTAATGTAAATACACCTTCCGCAAATTGTAGCATTACCCTCCTATTCATAGATCCAAATGTGTGCTGTTTTGGAGTTGAATTCGCAATCTCTTGGTATGAGACTGCCGCATACGAACTCATGAAGCTTTCTATCGATGCAAGGCAAACTTTCTCTATTTCAAATGCTGAAGTGGAACTTCATTTGCAGAGCAACAGGGACCAGTCATTTCTGAAATCATTGCAGAGGGCTCCTTTGACTTGGGAAAGGAACATAAATTGGTGACCTTAATAAAAAGATATTGGTGGCCAACTGCATTTCTTCTAACTGTAATTGTGGGATATCCATACCCTATGTCGTTGCTCCCGAATTCCTTGTTGCTGCTGTGGACCACAAAGCCAAATCCTACATCAATCCATCTTTGGCTGGAAAAGGTTCGGGTTCGCAAATTGTGTCGTTGTAACTTGAGCACTAATGGCAGTTACACGGCCATTGATGGCAATGCTGACGTTGCTTTCGTTGGGAATTGAACAAATGTTGAGGCCTGACGTCATTTTTATGTGAATACTCTCCCATGCCTTGCTAGATGAGACACAATCCACGAGTCATGCAATGGGAAGAGGATGAAATGAAGGCGAAGGTCAATTGTCTACACTCCGAGACTTTCACTATGATTATTAAATGATATTTTAAACCTCCCAAAATTCGAAAACCTGAGACAAAATAATGTGGATAATGAAGCTGACTACAGAAGTGGATTGCCTCTGCAAATTTACATGACTGGAGGATTGTGTCGATTATTTTCAATAATTCTCTTCAGGACTTGATGGTACATCCTGAAGATCCTCGTTGTTTTGCAGTTAATTTCTCCAGCGACGATCATGCACGTAGAAGTTCGAGATTGTATGTTCTTTTGCCTTGCAAAAGTCACCTACCCTGCATTTGATGCGACTGTAGTGGGAGTGTTAGGAGACTGGTGGGTAATTTCCTCTTCGTCATCAAGGATAACGGCACTTGGTTTGAGTAATTTCTCATCCCTTCAATTCCTCTTTCATTTTTACAAGTGTTTGTGAGTGGGGACATTGCGATGTACTCGATATGAGCTTCTTCACAGAACAAAAGAATCTACGGACGCAATGGCATTCCTTTGTGATGTGCATTGAAGAGTCCTGTCGTGCTGGCCTCACATTCAATAATCCGGACTGCTCTGTCTCCTCACACTGACGTGAACAGCGTTGCCTTCGACAGGCCTGGATAATGTTCCAAATATTGACGATATCGCCAAGAACTTGAAGAGCAAGACCGAGGAGCTTCAAGCTGAGTTCAAAAAAGCTACAGAAGAAGGTCTCAGAAAATACAGGACTTGGTGTGAAGAGGTGCGTTATATGAGCTCTTTGATTTTTACAAGCAGCACTGGTTAGTTTGAACAGCCTAGGAGCTATTTTATATAAAACATACCCAGGTCTATCAGTGTCCTATTTGTTCCGTTGCGTGGTATTCTGGGTGTTTCGAATTTTCAATATGCAGCTCTTACCACTGGTGCCTTGGATGGATTGATTGCATACAGCGGCAGCTCTGAGGCACACAGAGTGCAGTGTCAATTTGTATACAGTGGAAGATTCATATGGGGTTTCTGCATTTTGTTGAGGAAATATGGATAGTCCTGTTTCATTCCAATTCAATCTGTTCTCATTGACAGTGGTGCGAAATCACAAAATTAAATTCGCATTAAGACACTGTTAACCTACTGTCCGAAGAGCCTTGCTATGCAAATCAGAGGCAGGGGCTTGTGAATCTGTCCTCGACATCGCATTCAGTTTTAATCCAGCAAGACAACAAATTCTGCTACCCATCCAGAGGCAGGCAGGGATTATTAAAATTTAAAAAAATCAAAAAACCAAATTACAAAAATTAACACAAGTGTACTGTGCACGTAATGGCACCTGCAATTTTTGTGTTACTGTTTTACCATGTGGTCTCTGGATTTTTCCATAACTCACACCCCCCTCCCCATTTCAACTGTGGATCACAGTACAATACCATAAAAACAGTGTCTCCCATCTCTCAATGTTGACTGCCACTTTATGTTCCGCAGGGGGGATTAGATAGGGAGATACTGTCCACCCATAATAACCACAATCAATGAGAAGCATGCTTCGCCATTCAAGGGTTCATCATTAATCCAGTGGATTAAGTACAATATCATTGCATTGGACCCTTTAAAAAAATGATAGTTGCAGTTACCCATCTTAGAGCAGGGCCACCAGTGGCGCCAACGCTCGCGCCATCGGGCGGCCACGCTCCCCCGCCATCAAAAAGTTCCCCACCAACGCCCGCTCGAGGGCGGGGGCAAGAGAGGCCACGCCCGATTTGGGTGTTTGGCCGCCAACCTGCCGTGCAAACAATCTGGTTTGGCCGGGCCCGTCCTCGAAGTGGGGCCCATTCGGTAGCTCGTGTGCTGCCGCAACGTGGCGCGGAGCCGCCCCTTACGGATTGGCCAGGGCTCCATTCACGGACCCACCAATTTTCAAGACGCCGGATTGCGTCAACCGGTAGGGACCGCGCAAGGGCCTCCCTGGCGCGAGCGTTGGCTCCAACCGGTGCGGATGCCCTTAGTTCACTCTCTATTTGTCTCTGTCTGTCTCTATCACTCTCTCTCCGTGTATGTGAATATCTATACATATACATATATATATATATCAGCACATCTGTGGGCATGACTGTGAGCTTGACATAAAGAGCAAGTGGATTTGTCCAGAGGCTTGATATGTGTCCCAGACAGGAAACGTCCATTCAAAAGGCCAGTTCATTCATGTGAATGCTTTGCTAATGGAGACAACTGTGCAGGAGGAGCAGTGTTGATGGTGCTGCTGGTGGTGGTGGTAATGTTAATGGTAATTAATGGTGGGCAGTTATTGTTAAGCTAATGATTGAGAACTCAATGCCTCCTCTGACTTCCCCCCTCCCACTATTCCCTTCCCATCTCTCTCTCTCTCCTTGCAGTCTAAGTTAGTGGTCCCACTCACTCACTTACTGTTAATTTATCTCTGTTTGAGAAATTGGCATTGTAATTAGTTCTAAGCACCCCCCCCCCCTCCCAATTTGATCATTGTCCTGCTGTCATCCACATGTGAAATTTGTGCTGCTGCTTCTTCTGCTTCTGGATCTCATTCTGTGGAGTAGTATTACCCAAGGCTCTTTTTGGTGGGGTGGGGGACTGTGCCTTGTACAGCAGCCCAGCCATACACATAAATAAATAACCCCAACACAAACACACACACACACGCACACCTTCCTTCCTTCCTTCCTTCCTTCCTTCCATGCACACCACCTTTGCCCACTTCCAACACTCTTTTACTCTGATTGGGAAAAAAGTAGGAAAGAAGAATCAGGAGATACTGGTTATCAAGGCTTGAGTCAGTTCTTTTAATGCCATTTTATAGAATGGGATGGATGTGTTATGGTTATTTGTATTGGGAGAAGGGGGAGGGGGATGATGATGGGGGTGCAGACCAGCCAACCACCCAAACCCTACACATCCAATATGGATTGCACTCTAGAAAAGAGAAAAAAGTAGTTGTGATATATTAGTAGTAGTAGTACAGCCCCATTTGTATTATGTATATATATTGCAAATCATTCTTTTCATGGTTTTTTTAAAGATAATAATTAAGGAGGTGAAAGTGGTGGTGGATTGTTTTACCTAAAAAATGATTGAAACATAATTAAAAGTTGGATTTTTTTAAAAATAAATTATTTTTTAAAAAAAAATGAGAATACAATGAGATGTGGGTACTTAGGTGAGAGTTGAGGCAAACATCATGATATACAATGGTGTTTGGAAGAGATTTTATAAAGAATAGTAGAAGAAAAATTGATTGTGGATTTGCATAATGCAATTTTTGTAACTTCCTCTTTATTCTCTCACTGATAAATTGTTTCAATTTAATTTAATTTAACATATGATAACATAATAATGTAACAGTAGATAACTTATACTTTTAAAAAATATATTTTAAGTCAAGTTTTTTTACAAAAGGTAGAGTATATATATATATATATATATATATATATATACATTGAAATTTTAAAACTTTAAATTTATCCTGTTCAAATTTTATAATGGATATGCACATAAAAAGTGTATAAAAAGTAAGTATATGATTTTTTTTTGAATTAATCTTCAATTTTTCCTTTTTTTGGCTAATTTATGTAGCTGATGTGCCATGGACTGACAAACTCATATGAAAACTTTTAAGTGTTTTTAGGAGCTTTTATAAAACTTGTGAACTTTTTAGAAAATTAAAGAGGCTTACAAGAAAGGATTTTTATTTATTTATTTTATTTTATTTTTTGGAAGAATATATGACATTATAAAATATCATAAAAAGTTTTTAAAAGACTACACAAATCCTTATAACTTTTTGGGAACTTTCAAAAGATCACATAGAGTATGAAAAACTACGAATCTATTTAAAGGATAATTAAAGTAATTCAAAGAACACAGTAAACTTCTTAACACTCTAAACACAAAAAAATGATGTTGATTTTTTATTTTATTTTTATAACTGTTCAAAGGACTAAAAAATATTATTGCCAGTTAATATCGCGTTTTCAAAAAATTATCTGTACATCGCTTACAATCATCATTAAATTGGATCCCAAATTTTATTTATTTATTTGATTTATCTATTTGAATAGAGATCATGCATTCATTCATTCACTCATTTATGACCTTCATCTTCTTCTCCGTCTTCCTCTATCTCTGTTTCTGTGTGTGTTGTTATGTTGTGATCTGTTGTGTTGCGTTGTGTGTGTGTGTGTGTTTCTCGGTGGGAGTGTGAGTGTGAGTGTGTCTGACTGGGTTTCTTGACTCTGACTGACCATGGCTATGCCTAGTTTGCGGCATGACAGACTATGCAAGCAATGCCGCTGCTGCTACAGGGAGAGGGAGAGAGACTGGGCATGTGGGTACACACAACACCAACACTTCCCTCTTCTATTCTTTGAGGTTGCTGTCTCTCTTTGTCGTCTCCAGATTGTGTGTCGGCGAGGGAGGGAGGCTAAGGGCGTTGCCTCAAACCTCCTTCTCCTCCTCCTTCTCCAGGACCCATAAGTACAGCAGCTGTGAGCTTCACCATCCCTTTTGCTCAGCTCCTCCCAGTCTTTGCTGATCATCATCACAAGCCACTCCTCCTTTCCCACTGGGATTCCTCATGCCCACTGGGATTCCCACTGGAATTCCTCATTGTTTTCTGGGGTCAGATCAGTTGTTGTTTGCTGCTCTGTTTTCAGCTTGCAGCCTTGACCCCTGCTTGGACGAAGAGTCGGTTCCAAGGCTGTCTCTGTGCTGAGATTGAGAGCGAGTTGTTAGTTGCAGAGCTATGACGCATGTATAATCACCGTACCCAGTTGGTTTGCGTTGCAATGCCTTCTCACCTCTAATTTTGTTTACTTGTCTTTTCTGTTTGGTTATTTACTTCCTAGGAGTTTGGTAGCTTTAAGCTGGAACTTGCAGCTTAATTTGTCAATGCGTTCTTCGCCGACCTCGTCATGTCGCTCCATATTTTGATCCAAGCAGTTAAAGTAGCCGGTTGAACCCATCGAAGGGAGCATGTACTACAATTGATCAATCGAACTTGAGTCTCTTGGCACCCTAGTTCACTCAGTTTTTTAACTTGTGAGAACTTTACTGCGGAAAATTATGGAGCAGAAATTAATTTGAACTTATGACATATTTAGGCAAGGCTTATCTAATTCAGGCTTAGTGGCAGTCGAGGTTACATCTAATTCCTGGTTTTAATATTTAACGCAGCAAGTGTTCGACGAAACTAAATGTTTCACAGCTGAAGTTGCTTCAAGAAGAAGATGACTTGGTTCACACGATGAAAGACGCGGCTGAGAAGCAGGTCGCAGAGGGTTGGGGGCTGAGGACACTCGGAGGAACAGCCCAAATTCCTGGGAGCGCTCGTTGTAGAACTATGCAGCTTCCATTGTTGGATGATTTGGGTAACACCTGGACAAAGCGATACTGAGAGTGATCAGTCAACAGTGTTTCTGTGCTAGAAAATGGCTCTAGTGTGCACTTGTTTAGATACTCCAGTGCAGAAAGAGGCTGTTCAGGGTTTGCTGAGGGTCAGGGAGGTAAGCACAGCTGTGCTGTAAGAGAAAGATTTTAAGTAAGCTGCAAAACGGAGCTCCAGCAGTAGAATGAGCTCATTACCTGAATGCCAAGAAGTGTTGCTGTCTCCAATGAAGGTTCCTGAGGCTTAAATAATGGGGAATCCTACCTCTAATTGCACAGTTCAGGCGCGCCTGTCTTCCTTGAAGGAGAAACAACTGCAGTCTCTCTCAATGACCCCACTTCGACTCGAGCAGCCGGGGCAGCTTGGAAGCATCAACTATGAGAAGAGCTCGTCAGTGAGAGCTCTCAATAGCCCAGAGGCCACCGAGCAGAGGTCTCTTGCATCGTCTCTCAGAGGCACCGATGATTATGCAAAAAGTCTTGACCTTGTTGGTAGGTCGTCATCGATGGATTCACACAGGAAACCCACAAGCGCCAATGCATTCCGAGGTGGAAGTTGTCTTCACCTATCTTTCTCAGATTAGAATTTACCTATAACCTCGTGTTCAGAGCAGTTAGTCGTTGATCGTATGGTGATTTTGCAAGATGCAAAGATACTCTCGTATTTAACATCGTAGTGCCTGAAGTATAAAGTTGCATGTGTCCTTTCAGATCACAGGAGGGCTGCTTCTGGAAATATCCTCACACTTTTTAAAGATTTAGAGGTACTGCAGCCTAAAGGGACAAATTCAGCTCCAAGACAGCTTGACAAATACGCAGTCGAAAGACTAGCAGCCTCGATTTTCCACACTTCCACGACGCTTGAGCGCTCTTTGTCAATGTCAAGGGTGGCTCAGAAAGTCAATCTAGAAGCGGGAAACAAACATTATTCCGGACCCCTTCCAGTTATAGAACGCAGCCTTTGCGGGAAGCAGGAAGAATCGTTATCCCTGCAACAAAATTCTCTCTTTAAACCGGATGATGAACCACGAATGACTGAAGATGTGGGAGACAACCAAGGTTGTTCGAGCTCTCAGAGTATGCACATGGAAGGTATCCTACAATTCTCTATCTGCATGTACTGTCGCAGATCCAAGTGTTTCTTATAGCTTCAAGGATAAATGGCAATGCAGCAACAAGGGCAGGAACAGCACAGCACTGCTAATAGTGTAGTCATATGTTGTAAATATGCACCAAGCAAATTTCCTGTGTATTATCATCTGATGGCGGTTTTTACATTTCATCAGCAGTATGCCTAAATCTTTTGCTAAATGTTTTGTAATCCGCTGAGGTGTTCTGTGACTTCTCAGATTCCTCTAATATGTTGATCTCAAAGGCGTCATCTCTTCGACGGGATGTTCATGGCACCATGGATATGATGAAGAGTGAGGGTGAGACAGATCGGCTAACTACTGCGATTGAAGTCCCTTTCCCTTTTCCCGGAGATCCAGAGCTGCATTCAATCTGTTCTCTAGTGTTCCAGAATGCTGCTGAAAGTACAATCTCAATCAACAGAGATGGAATCGTTCAATATGGCTCTTTCGATTCCGAGACAAATAGAATCTTATTGCTGGAATGTGACAACCATGAAACTGCTGCAATTTCAGCAAGGGATATCGTCAAAGACATCCAGTTGAGCCCTCAATTTGTCACTGGTGAAGTGGCTGAGGAAGAACTAACCGAGACTGCTATACTATCCAGCCCTGAGAGCGAAGGATCGATGACCTCAAGTGATGAAAGAAACATCCACACAATATCAAGTGGTAGGGTAAATGAAACAGGTCCGGAGGTGACCTGCAGTTCTAATGCATGTCTGACAAAAAGCTTTAGCTTTGAGAATGGAACAGGGAGTAGACTGATGTTTAAACGAAATAGAACACGAAGTGCCTCAGCTTCAGGACTTGGAGCCATGTTACTGAAAGTTGTAGGGGTGCCAGATTCTGGAAAAATGGTATTGAGAAAAGCGTCTGCGGCTGGACATGAAATGATGTCTGGGGTGGATGCAATACGAGCTAGACAGTATCTACTTCAAAAAACTGCTCAAATTTCAGTGGAGCCAGCTCCTTCTCAGTCAACATTTCCCGCCTCTGCTACTACTAAATGTCCAAGTCCAACGAAGGATTCTGTACGTGCCATATTAATCATCTTTTTGTCAGGTTCTCTCGACTTCTAATATGCTAAATTTCTGCTCAATGTCCCTTTTCTAGGAGATTTTAAGAAGACTTTAACTCAAATGAGGTATTCATGGACAGAATTAGTTAATTTTTTTTACTTTGGTTCTTGGTGATCGAATAGGCCAAATCAACGTGCTGCAACATTATCGTCATTGAGACAGACTCTGGAGGCGACTGTGTTGAGCTTGTGCAACATTCCGAAGATGTTCAAGACTGTGTTCGTGGAGGAGTTGGATTTGTCATAACATCTGAATGTAAAAGCCAATTAGTAGAGAAAGGGTCACCTGCTCAACCAGCTGAACCGAAGGGTGCTAAACTTTTCAATAATAACGTTGGAGAAGGGATTATTAAGGCATTAGATAGTTATCTCGAAGGAAGTAAAAAAGGTAGATTGCTCATGTAACAACTTGTCCACTTAGCTGATGTATTCTCGGTTTTTTTTTAAACTTTTTTCTGGTTTACGATAGATTTTAGGCTTGAGGAAGTTACTTTTTAACCTTTTACAGCTTTTTTTGGCATGTACGCATGTTGTGACGGATCATGAAGGCTTTGGAGTAGCTTCTACCCGTGAGACTGAGAGCATAGATCAGCAGACCGCAATAGAGTGCCACCCAGAGATGGTTCCAAGTCGTCTTCCTGATCTGGGCAATGTAAACAAAGAACACACTAGTACACATGAAAGGCCGACCCTTACGTTGGTAGAGGGGGATCATGCGGTTTATGACAAATTTGTAAGCATACCCAAGCCTGATGTTTTAAGCAGTGCTGGTGCCAACACATTAGCAGCCGATGATAAATTCGATGGAAGACGTGCTCCAGGCAAGGAGTCGAACAGTAGAGGAAGAAACTCCTACGTCTTGGACTCAGCAGGTGATTCTCCAAAACTGACATCTTATTGTTTGCCCTATGCATCTCATTGAATTTAAAATACCCAAGCTCAGGTGGAAGAGGTGGAGCTGAACAATAAATTTTAAAAATTTAGATATTTGCATTTTCGCAGAGGGTCTTCAAACGACGAATTCTAGCAATGGAGCACATGAGCAACCTCCCATGAACAATACTAACAGCGGCGGAATCACTCAGGAGAGGTCGCGAAGCTTTATATCTAGACTTCAAGCACCCACTGGAACATTATCCTCTGCGGACACATTCCGTTTGGTCCCTTCTTCCGTCTCTATTCTGGCCAATCCATCCAACTCAAGCTCTCAGTGCCAAGACAGAATTTGGGAGGAGCAAGCAGAGATCTATTCCAGCGGAGGGCGCGGAACTCCAGGCCGTGAAGATGACCCATCAGCAGCGAATGCCATGCTTCATTCTCTATCAACTGTAGCTACAGCAATCAGTTCAGAGCATTATCAAGTTTCTTCTGCACCGAACGCTTTGAGAAAAGGCCACATTGACACAAACGGGAGACATCCCTCCACAGTTCCCGGTGCAAAAGAGCGACGCAAGAAGGGGAAGAAAAGGGGCAGATCACCTCGAACACCACTGAGGAGCTTGTTGAGCGATGATGGGCATAGCAAAGCATTGGGCTCGGGAATGAGGTCACCCACTGGTGGCCATTTCATGCAACAGATCATGTCAAAAATAAGAGGAAACTCTCCAAAAGCACCCAGCCCCAAAAGCCCAGAACCAGCCATGGCCAAGAGACGGAACACTTGGAGCAGCTGCATTTGCTTCTCCATCAAATGATTAGCTTCTTCAATTGAGTTTCTTCATCAATCAGACTCTTTCTTTGTTGCAATGGATTGAAGTACGAATCAATATTCAGTTAACTTCTCCAGGGCCCAGTCTACATGAACTTCATTGTGGTACGAGTTGCAATCGCTATATCTTTTGCCTAATTCATGCCAGGCTTGAATTGCCTTACAAGCCAAACATCATACTTCGTTGGACACTGCTATCCATGTTCATCTGCTTAGGTTTTAGTTGACATTGCAACAATGATAACTGTGTACAGAAAGTTGTGTATGATCTGAGAGACATTGGTAAAAAAGTCACCGTGCAGAACATTTCACTGGATTTAAAATAGTTCCAAAACATTCAATCCTATTCAAAAAATTTGGGATTCTTTCAGAGACTTTTAAAAAACCAATTCGATACGGAAGAAAGAGTTGCATCAGTTCTTGATGAGGATGACAGCGGAATCGATTTTCTGAAGTGTTGATGACACAAAATAAAAGATGTTTAATTGGTTTAAAAATGAAGAAGATTGAGGTGGCTGCAATTACATGTTCTGAAAGAATATTATTTATGATTTAGTGATTCAAGGTAATTGACCACAGCCAATAGTAGAAGAGTAGTAAGAATCGAATTTTGAAGATTTTTTACAGAATGAATGATAGTAATTTTATTTCGACTAAGTTTTTTTTTTCCAAAGAATAAAACTTTCAAATATAAGCATATTTGGAGTTGAGTAAAGATGAAAACGATGAATTCTTAGAAGTCTTTGATAGATGATTTACTATTCAACAAAGAACTTATGGGAGTCAAAATTTGTTCAATTTTTTTAATTGATAAGGCTGTGTTGTAAAATGGCATTATCTTGTACGTGTTTCCTTGTTCATAGTTTTTTAAAAGTAGGTGTTTTGAGCAGAATTACATATGTCCAAGATTTTGTATAATTTTTAATAATGAAACTTGAAATGTATTATCATAAGTGGAAAAGTATCACATATGGAAATAACTAAAAGTATTATTGTTACTATTCTTAATTTATAATTTCAAAGATACATAATTTTTTTTATTGTGCTTGTAGGAATATCTACAAAAAAATTAATTGTTCATTATTTGAAAAATTAATTTAGATAGTAATGCAATAAAAAAACAATAGCTTAAAAGAATAAAATATCTTTATGTTATTATCATCATTAATAATAAAATATTTAATTAATGATGATAATCTATCTTTAATTAATTAATATATGTATGTGTATGTGTATGTTATTTTTTATTTTTTATTTATTTTTTGAAATTAGTATTTGGATTGTGTATTAAGTATATAAGGTTGGACTCTCAAATATGGGTAAAAAATATACTGCAATCTATATTTTGAGTTAGATATTAAAATAAGGAGATAAGTAAATTAACAAGAAAAAAAATTAAATACTTATACCTTCTAACAATAAAATATTTATTTTATATGTTTTGATTTGTACAAAAATTAATTCAAAAATATTTTTATTATCATCATTAATTAAAGATAGATTATATCTTTATATTTAAAAAATCAAAAAGTTTAAAATAATTTACTTATAATCATTTTATTCATATTCCAAATATTTATGATGTTTATTTTTTTGGTAAATGAGAAATATATATATATATATATATATATATATATATATTACTTATTATCTCTAGATCTTACAAGAAGTCCTTGCCTCTATTTGATATAGATTTTGTTATTGTATTTCAAATTAAATTGTTGCTTTTATTCTATCAATATTCATAGATGTATCATTAACTAATAGGTTTAGGATTTTATTTATTTATTATATATTTAAAATAAATCACCATAATAATAATTATAATAATATTTCAATCAATATTTTTTACATTAATGTATCAACCATGAATGCATCTAAAACCAATTTTTATGTTTTGTTTTGTTTTTTATCCGATCTTCTGGATTGATATTTCATAATTAAAATAATTATTAATCGAACTAAAATCTTAGTTTTATTTATACTACCATTACAACAGTTTTACAATGTTATTATATACTGCCAACACCAACATTAACTTCCATATGGTTTTTGTAATAAAGTAAAATCTAATACAAATAAATTTGATATTATTGGAATATAATTTCAAAATTGTAGATTTTTATAAAATCTATTGCAATAACATTAATTTTTCTTATATAAATATTAATATAAATTTATTTATTTCATTTAGTAAGTAAAAGTTCCAAATATGTTTTCTATATAAACACCCAACAACTCATTGATCTGATTTCATTTGATACTATGTAATTCAAAATTATATTTTTAAAATAAAATATTCAACAGCAATGACTCGTTAATATTATAAATCTAAAAGATCCAATGAGTACACACATCCAAAAAGCCTAAAACCTTTTAATTTTAATGTATTAACTATCACTTCATAAAGATAATGCCTTTTAATCTTTTCCATATCATTTTACATTTTTGATAATATACCATAGTATGGAAATTTTGAAATATGATTAAATATCACCGGAAACAAAAAAAAAGAAAAAAAAAAACAGAAAAAGAAAAAAAAGGTGTAAGCGCAGCATGTATAATCTAAGAATGTTATCATGTTCATATAAATAAAAATAAACCTTCACAACTCAGCCATACAAACAAACGATGTAATGAAAATAATCCTCGTCGGCTCCAACAGAAGCGACATCTACTAAGTTCGTATTTGTAAACTAAGAATCTAACGATCCAGCTAGATACACAAACAGACAGACAAACGGACAGACAGACAGAAAGATGGACATGAACCGATTTTTATAGTTCATGAAAAAGGATAGTAAAGTAGTCACTGCTGTTTTACCAAAAAGAATGGGAAGGAATGAGTTGGGAGGGAGGGAGGAAGGACCTGATGGCGTGCGGACAAATCAGATTTTGCTGAGCAAGGAAGGCGAAGATCAGAACTTCATGCAGAAGATGGAATGGGATATGGAATGGAATGCGAGGCAAAGTAAAGTAAGGCAGAGGCAGAGGCAGAGGCAGAGATTGAAGCCAGGCCGAATGTGGCTCAGAAAATGGCGGTGATGTTGTTGTTGTTGTTGTTGTTGCTGCTGCTGGTACTGACAAGCCTGGAAGCAGATGCTGCGAGCAAAACTCCCCCTCCCACCTCGTCAAAGCACAGCAAGTCTCTCTCTCTCTTTCACAGCAGACTCAGGGGCGATCTTACGGTCACCGTGGCGTGCATCGCACTATCACTGGTAGTCGTGACTGGGAGGATCATGCTACACAGTGCCTGCCTTTGCTTTATAGATGGACCCACAGTTTGCTCTGCGCACAATTGATGAAACATGACTTTCTTACTACCTGGCACTGAGCAGTGGAAAGTGGGGTACAGCTGCCGAGGTCCTTCTTTCTATCTGCTTGCGGCGAACTGGGTTGAGAGCTGCAATAAAGCCTGATCCAACTTTGAGCTCGGTCCGCAACGGAGTTAACTTATACAGGTCCAACGGGGTCATGCAGTCTGGTTTGCACCCTGGAAGTGGGAGCAGCAGCAGAAGCAGCAACCAGTTGAGACCGTGTTTAATGCGTGGGGCAGATTCAGGAGGAATTATTTATGACCCAAGTCGTTGTACCGGCAAGGACGATGCTTGACTTGGGGCATCCTCTGCTAAATCACGCTATCTAGTCTGATAAGCCCATGATCCTTGAAGAGTAGGTACGTTCCGCTTCAGCTGTCATGCATGGTGTCAGTGTTGAGCTCTGCGCTTTGTCATTGGCTTGACCATTGTCGGCTTCAGCAGCGGGAAAGAAACTGGAAAATAGGTAGCCGGTAGATTTGGCTTCTCCGTGCTATTTCAAGGGTGGTAAATGAATAGACTTCATAGTGATTAGATAGTGATTAGATTTCAGGCACTTTGCTTGATTAGAGTCGCAGTGTAAATTCAATTTTTCTACCTTCTAGTTCGGTTCGGGGATGGAAGCAATCGTTGTGGGAATTCACTGAAGCTGCAAGCGTGATGGCATCAGCTTTTAAGTGGTTAACTTCGGTAAGTTACCAGATTTATGTAACTGATTAATCATGAACAGAAGATCTCAGCTGGTTCTTTGACAAAATTTCCCCGGCACACAACTGCTGGACAAACACATCGCCCAGCTGAACACAGTAAATGATGGCCTAAGGTGTATTCATGTACACAGTGACACACACAATTTTTAAAAAAAATTGTTGACCAGGTCAATACTGTGCAGTTCCTGCGGTGTCGCTCTGTTGCGTGGTTGGGGTTGTCGCAAGCTGCAATGAATGCTTGGAAGTACAGTTCGTGTCTTGTGCATGTCTTGAAGCCACTTACTGCCTGGGTCTGTTCACTGCATACAAGCAGCTCATTGAAAATCTTTAAGTTAACTTCTATGAAGTAAATAGTTTGCCACGCTTGAATTGAATCGAATCTTTCCTCCGCTCATTAGCAATAGCAATGATCATTGTTCAAACAGTACACCCCACTGCACATGCAAGACAACAAGGCCGTTTCTAAAAACGAGCATAAAATAAAAAAAAAAATACAGATAATCTTTACCAATTCTAATAGGTGGGAGTTAATCCACACTGATATAATTGGCCAGCCACAATATGGGCATTATTACATATAATGCTGTATCCGGCACCCCAAACATGTGTATCTGGAAAATACTTCAGAGTCTGTACATACCTTCTACGTATCAACAGAGAATATGGTGTGAGGGACCAATCTTGGCTTAAAATTATTCAACACTTGCACCGGCAGGTTGTGCGTTGATGCATCTTACAGCTTCAATCTCAACTCCTCTACTATATAAATCCTATCAAAGTCATTACAATACAATGCTCTACATGAATCCTTTGGAGCTCGACACCTACATCTTCCAAGTTAATCGTCTACATTGCCACCATATCGTAGTAGCAAGTAGTGAAAACAAATCAGTGCATATACTGGTAAACCCTCAAAATTAGCTGTACACGAGAAGTTAAGATCCAGTTCGACTTTGTAACAGGCCAAGTCTAAAGAGCTGCTTCAGCTTGTTCATGTTGAGAGGTCGTACCAAGAGATCCAATCAGTGGTACCGTCCCAGGGAACCTTTTTTTTTTTTTGGTTTGTTTCCATAATCTGGGATCAAGTTTGGTTCCAAGTAATGCTCCAAATGACTAGATTTCATTGGAATTAGCCTAGAAGTAAGCGCGATATTTGTGTGTCTTCTCTTCCATGTAATTATTTTAAGTTTTTCTTCGAAAGCCGTCCTTCCGTGGGACTTGAAACCGGAGGACTGCAATCAGGGAATGGCGCTACGGCATAAAGAAGTGGTTGCCACATTTGCATCTCCAGACCTCCGGATAGTATTCTTGCTGCGATATTGACCCGTGCGGACCGCCGAGGGAAAAATGAATTGGGTTGCATGGAACACATAATCCGCATTTCCCTTGACAAGAAGGAGGAGCTGAGCCAAGCAATATTCGGTGACCAAAGATCGAACCGTCTCTGTAGATCTTCTTCACATTGCCGCGGAAACTGGCTACACGAGGAGATGGTGGACTTGAATCCTGCATGACGGCCCAACTAAAAAACTTAGATTTGCAATCGTTACATCTCGTTAATTGAAAACATTCAAGAAACATCAAATTTCACTAAAATTCATCATGCATATTATTCTTGCTTCTTGCTAAGTAGACATCTCCCAGCACATACAATTTGTGAATAATGTCGCAGGCTCAATCATCGTTGGTTGATAGGATCCAAAATTGTCTCCTATATCAGCACCGAAACGTACCTGATATTGGCTACCATATTTCCAGGTCAGTTCTGCAATTCCCAGATCTTCTCCAGACGTTAAACCCCAAGTTAACTTGACTTGAGGTGTGGTTGTGGAGCTTGCAATCAATGGTGGAGCTGAAATCATGTTCGAGGACAATTGTATCAGACGAACGGTGTCCATCATATTTATCAAACGCGTAAACACACTACATTCCACAGTACGGTGCCAAAAATTTGGATCACCCCAACTTCATTGTAAACACTTATGGAATGTCTTCCTTGAAATCTCTCTCAAAACGTGAAACCAGGTAAGTGATGTGAGTTTTCGAGACTTGGCTGTAGAACTCACCGGGTATGGGGCGACCAGCAGCAGCCAGGTAAGGAACCATTGTCAGAAATAGCAAAATCCTACAACTGAGGGTTGGCATTCTTCAAGTTTCACGAATCTTTCGCACCAGCCGGTTCACGTACGCCAACGTTGTGGCTGTCTCAATAGCTGCAGATAACTGCAAATAACTACGTAAAAGAAAGGACGGGCGTGCAGTTCTTATCCGAGGTCGTAATAGATTCTTTGAATAAAACGGCCTACCAAGGACCATGAAGGGCAGTGTCGGTGGGGCGTATACTATGTTGAACAGATTCGGAAGAGTTCCTCAGCTTTGTCACTCAGCACGAATGATTACAACATCATAAGGATGACAGCTTTGGGTATTCCCAACAACCAGAAAATTCTCTCGATCTTATCTTCTTGTGTGGACTAGCTGGCGACGGCTACAGGTCTGGTAACACAGTGAAACCAGTGTTGCTACGAATAGATCGGACTCAAGTTCAGAAATTTTCTTACAATCAAACCTCGGTCAAAGGGACCAGAAATTCTCATAGAGGCACAGCTGCAACAGTTAGCGTAATCAAACACTCGTCAAGCCATGCCAGAATACCTCCTACACTCCGAATCAACTACAACAACAGGATGCAGGCAGGAGCCCGCCGTCTTTTCTCCTCCTCTCTCGTCTTCCTCTACTTGATGTGCAATCGATGCAGGTGCCCGCAAACAAAACATGTCCAACCTCTTTATGCCTAGATCCTCCTCTCGTCCACTCATTTTCAGGTTCCTCACCTGGACTTTACTCTCGCTATCATTCTCTCACTCATTCACACACACTCTCTCTCCTTCTCTTTCTCTCTCTTTTGTAGAGTCTCATTGACTTCAGGTGCACGCTACCATTCCACCGGGCAAATTCAACCCTTCTCTATGACAACCGACAAGGTTTAGCGTTGTCAGGCGCTGAGCGCCTCCCGAGCCCGTCGCGTAGTGTCTTAAGCAAGCAGGGTGCATTGATCTCATCTGCGGTGCCACCCTCCAGTCACCGCATGCTCGAGCTCGAGTGAACACTGTACCCTTGGAGGGCTGCTGCTACTGCTGCTAGCATCCTGGGTCATTCATGGAGTCAGTCAGTCAGTCTACCCAAGACAGCCCCCCCTAGTTTTGTCGTTGTTTTGTTTCTCCCGTTATTATGTTACAGGTTTGTGTTCCGTAGTTATTGTTGTTCTTGTAGAACGAAAGAATGCAGCTTTGCAAAATTTTGTATCTCTGCTGGTAATTTCTTGAGTCCCGCTGCCTCTCTGTTTTGAATAAAGGCTAATGTTCTCAAGGGTTTTGTAAAGATGTCTTGTTGTTGTGCTTGGGATGGAATGTATCCAACTTGGAGACTTCCATTCTGATGTTTCTCTTGCATATAATAATGGTGGTCAAGTTCAATGTGTTTGGTGCTGTTATGCATTACTAGGTTCCTTGCTAGTTTGATGCTACTCATGTTATTGCATAAAAGTGGGGTTGGTTTGTCTTGGTTGAACTGTAGGTCTTTCAGCAACCTCCTGTAGTATGTTATGTTTTGGGCTGCTTCAGAGAGTATACAATGCTGCGCTTTGGTGGAGGAAAGGGCAATTGTTGATTGCAGCTTGCTTGACTAGGCTATAGGAGAGGAGCCCAGCTTATAGAGTATCCCAGATGTACATTTTTAGGAATCTACATCTCTTGCTCAATTTGCCTTTGAAAAGATTATGCAGTCCTCTGATGTCTTTGGTGAAATAGAAGATGCCGAACTCCTTGGTTTCTTTCAAATATCTAAGATTTTTTTTGCTACCATCGTATTGTATATTCTATTGACTATTAATAGTATATATAAGGCCTCCTACTAAGCTTTTGTACATAGTGGGGTCTATGAAAGATGTTAGAATATCTTTTTGACATTTTATTTTTGGATTCAAGAATACCTTTGATGAATTATAGTGTATGAAATTGATACTTTTAAAAAATCAATTTATATATTATTTTTGGTCAAAATAGATTCTAGTCTTGTTACAATGCAATTCAACTTTAAGGTAGATTTTGGCATTGTTGAAGTCAATCATTTAAAAGGTGTTTATTATGTTGTACTTGAATTTTGTAATGTTGTCAAAATTATTACTAGTGACTATGATGTCAAAGCATAGAAATACTATAATATATATTTTAGCTTTGATGTTGAAATACAAGTTTGGATCTTCTTTGCTTTGCCAGAAATCTCATTCATTAACAAAGCCATCTATTCTATTATTCCTAGTTTAAAGTACTTGCTACAATCCATAAAAGACTCAATGTAATTTGCACATCTTTCCATTATTGTGTTTATTATCAAATCAAGGAAGTAAATTAATGTATTTATCTTTTATGATTTTTTTATTTAAGAATATAATTTCTATACCTAGATGTAAAAGTTACTATTACTTTTTTTACATGTAGGTCTATAAGTATCTAGGTTTTATTCTTACAAATAAAATCTATTTTTTTTTTTATCAAATCACATATTTCTATTTTAAGTATTCGATGGCTTTTAAATATAATTTAGATTCAATGGTATATTTTGTATTGAGCATAAATTTTTTTCTATATTTGATGATGGATTGTCTCATTTTATTTGGAGTTATGCAAATCTTTGCAATAATACCAAATTGCTTAAGTTGGATGTCATTGTTTGTAATTAATGCAAAAGATGCAAGATTGTTGATATTGGTAAATATTTCAGATTATGAAATTTGTTGTGTAGGCAATTCTTGTGGTTGTATTATTGTTTTGTCATCTCCTAAGGTAATGTGTGCCGCTCGAAGTATTTCTAAGCTATTAAAGGTTGTAGTATATAGTTGTACCAACTTGAATCTCACTTGATTTTTGTCAAAGCTTATATCATGGCCTATGTATGCTTGATTTGTGAACAATTTGAATACTTGCCATGCTTTTTTTTTGTTGACATAGCCCAAGAAGTAACATTAGGTAATTTTTCTTTGTAATTTAGAATGCTCTTCTTTTGATGTATATAAATAAGCTATAGATTCAAAAATGCAAAGGTATTCTATTAAAGATTTTTAATTCAAGTACTTCTATTTTAGTGTGATTTAATTCTTTATTCTTGTATAATTAATATTATCTAGATATTTTGTGGTATTGACTAATTTATTTAAAAAAAAGCTTAGGTACTTGATTATGGCTACCACTAATTGAGCTATTTTAATTACAATTCTATTCTTGCATTCATTGATATTATTTTGTTGAGACTTTGAGCCATAGTAAATTGTGGTTGTATCCTACAACTGAGTAAATAGTTGATGAATGCAATAGAAAAATGTTCTCTATCAGAATCTATTTTGAGGCACTCAATACATTATTGTATAACGTGAATTCTTACTTGAGAATGTACCAAATAATTAACTACAAAAGATAAATAGAAAATGCAATAAGAAGATCCTGCCAAGTTTAATAGAAACTTAAGTAAATTCTAAGTAATCTTTAATAACCTAAATGAAACTTTAACTAATCCAAAAGAAATTTTAAAAGAAATTATACAAAAAACATAAAAGAAGTTATAAATTAATTTCAAAAGATAATAATAAAGATGTCTTAAATAAAATCCTTAAAGGAATAACAACTAAAAAGAAGTATTAAAAATAAAACCTTTAAAAAAATGATAATAAATTCTAAAAAAATATTAAATAAATTCTAAATAAATCATAGATAAATCCTAAATAAATCTTTGGTGAATCCTAATAAAATCTTGATGTAGTTCTAATAAAATCTTATTGCAAAATCCTAATAAAATCCTAATCAAATCCTAATTAAATCTTAGACCAAATTCTAATGAAATCCTAATGAAATTTAACCAAATTTTAGACCAAATCCTAACCAAATCTTAAAAAACCTCAAAAAAATTCTAAATAAATATTAATTAGTTATCATTGTTGTTTTAAAAATTAAATAAATATTAATTAAATTATTAATCTTGACTAAAATTTTATTCAAATTTCAATCCATACATAATTAATAAGTATAAAAAAATTGAAAAGAATCAAATTCACCATTTGAAAGCAAAGCTCCTAAAACCTCTTACATATTGACTGCCCTCCTTCTCCAACTTAAAAGTTGATCTTTTAATAGTGATTTTTCTATGCTAAACCATTAAATTGCTTTAAAATTTTATTGTTGTATAAATTTCTAAGTCTAAATGGTTCTTATCAATTTTTCTTTAATCAAATCAGAAAATGTTGCAAGATCACAATTATCCTCATCGATCCTAAATTTTAATTATCCAAGGCCATAATCCATAAAATATTTTACAGCCTTCAATCTAACCACTAAATTGACATTAAATTTCTCACATATATTCAAAACAAGTACAATGACAAATTGACAAATTTTCAACTACAAATATGCTTTGATACTCTTATAATCTTTAAATTTGTAAATTTCTTTTTATTTATCAAAATCCAAATCTACCAAATACATCTATCACTATGAAAAGCCCTCAAAACCTCAATATGCTTTTAAATCATATGAAATCAACTCTCAAAAATCCTCTTATAAGTTTGATCTAAAATCCCACTCTTTGACTAATCAAAGAACTTTGAAGTCTTCATAGTTGCATGGTTTTGTGCCTTAGAGTCTGATTTTGATCTTGATTCACAACTAGTCTTCTTTGGATATGAATTTTTGATATTTTATGTAGTTTTTGATAAAAAATATTCTCAATTCTCTCTTAAAAATACTTATATCAATTATTTATTTTATTTATTTAGATTTGATTCACTTAAGCCCTTACAAAGTAAATATAAGTCTCTGATTTGAAAAGGCAATATTAGTATTTATTTCATTTTTATTATCTCCTTGTCAATTATCTATATTTTTAAGATAATTTTCTAAAATTTTTTTATTAAAGCTCTTCTACATTATAATCTTTTCTTTCTTCTTTTATCATATTGTGATATTACCATATGACATCCATCATGTCTAAATCTATGCATCTTTTGGTATGCGCCAAATAATCCAAATCTTGTTTGATTTATACTATGCTTTTTATGTTTTCATCTAAATCTTCTTCATTATTTTTCTATCTAAATTAAAATCTTCTTTTTATCTTGGAAGATTTATATCTTTTGTAAGGTCTTCTATATTTATTTTTATATTTCTTTCTTTGAATATCTTTACTCGCTTCTCTAAAATTGATTTTGTCAACCTTATTCTATCTAACTCTTATAATGAATGGAATTTTTTTATCATGAATAATTATCACTACATATGATCTAAACCATCATTTAAAAAACTTTCTTAAAATATTATGTTAATTATTTAAACTACTATCATAGAATAAAATCCAATCACTTTTTTTAATTGCTTTAGGTCTTAATTAATTATGCCTTATTTTATAATATTATTTTTTTAACCTTTCTAATACTATTTGTACATATTTTGATTTTTACTCAAGTTATTGAATCCTAATAGCTAAAATTTCTCTTATTAATTCATCTTCCTATGGTAATATACTCTAAATGAGTACTTTCTCTTTAATTGGTATAATAATTTTTTGATTTATCATAAGCTCAATAAGCATATATCTTATTATTAAACTATAAGTTTTTTGATCAGTCTATAATATAAATAACAAAAGTCAAGGCCATTCTCTAATCTTTCTATTATAAATTTTAATTAATGTTTTTATTAATATTTTAATATTTAGTTAAGGTATTCAAATAATAAACAATATCCAATAATTATCCTTCATAAAGATCTTCAAAAAATAAATTCTCTTTCTTGTTAAGATTTGATATTAAAAGGAATTTTATTCCAATATCATCAATGTCTTCAACTATCTTGACTTTTCTTTTATATCTTATTCAAAACAATATATCTGCCACTAAATTATCTTTTTAGCAACATATCTAAATTTTGGATTTAATAATTTGATATACATAATGTATCTTAGCATTGCAATA